ATTTTTACCATGAATTTACCATATTGTCCTTCATTATTTATTATAGTGTAGATTGTTGTTTTTTTTGAAAGGGGTATATATATTAAATAGGGGTAAAGTTGGAAAGTTGCTATATTTTAATAAAGAGTTAATGTAGTTTAAGATTTTTCTTGGCCTTTAATGCTCATGTAATAAATGTAATAAGTTCTTCTCTCTATGTTAATTCATATAATATTTTAGTTTGATTCTTTTAATCTTTTAATTCTAATATTATTAGTGTCAAATGATACTTCTCTAACCTTCTACTACTACTAATATTATTATTTTTGGTAAAAAACTAATTATTATTCTTTTAGTCTTAAATATAAAACCCACTTTATAGTATAATTTACACTCTAAAGTGGATCTCACATTTAGAATTGGAAATGTATTAATTTTAACATAAAACTTAAGATAGTATTTGAGGATATTTTGTCGACATTTTAAATTCTGATGTCAGGATTTTTTTTATTAATGACATTAGGATTCGAGAAATAAAAAACACTTTATAATAAAATTTAAAAAATTAAAATGAATTTTTATATAAAATTAAAGAGTTAAACGTACACTTTTACTTATAATCTAGTTCACCCTACTACTAGGTATATAGTATCTGTTATTTGATTTTTAATACAAGAATTACTTAATTAATTTACCAACTTAGATATATCGAGTAAGTCAAATAGATTATTTCATTAAGAAATATTTTTATACAATTAAATACATTTGTACACACAAATATATCAATATTAGGTTTGAACTCACTAGATTAAAGTCTCAATTACATATACCATTCTAGTCCTAAATGTAAGTATTCCTCCTGTCTTAAACATAAGACCCTTTTTATAGTATAAATTACATTACAGAAAAGATTTTATATTTAGGACCGAAGAGTAATATGGAAAAATTTTGGTATAAACATAAGTCACTTGAGGCATATTTAATGCCTATTTTTTAATTTTAATTTTATTTAATTTTTATTGGAAAAAGGAAAAAATGAGATATATGATAATGATTTATAAATATAGAGAAATAAAAACTTTTAATAAGAGCAAAATTAAATTTTTTTCCAATTTAGTGAGTTATATTTATTGTAGATTATTTTGATTTTTTTTTTTGCCCCTTTTGATGAACCTGTTTGGCTGTTTTTACGGACGAATAGTTCAGTTTCAAATGGTTGTGTGTCTGACACGCTAGTCAAACACTGGACGGTGTTTGCCAAGTGTTCACTCTAACGTAAGTTGCTTGCTACTGTTTCTTTGCTCTCTGCTTCAAAACTGGCAGTTACGGGTGCCTTGGTAGCTGCAATTGCTTCTTCCTCCTTTGGTTTAGGATTGTGTTCTTCACCTAATGTCAGCCATCGCTTCTCCGATCACTGCCGATGATGACGACCGTTCAGAAAGTCTGTTCTACGGCCCCGACGCCATTGACATTGCGTCCGATAAATCCGACAAGGATCAGAAAGGTTTCTTCGTCGATGAATTTCTAGTGATTTTCGTTCTTAATTCTACTATTTTATATTTATTCTCTACTCTTTTTTGGCGTATATAATCTTTACATACTGTTCTCATCATTTTCTTGCATTATAAGTGTACTGGTAGAGATATGTGCATGACGTGTGAAGGGTAGAAAGGAGTATGCATGAGTTGTTTAGCAAATAAAATTGAGTTTTGCATTACATCAGAAAAATGGAGACTTCAATGCGATATGTGTGTTGGTGTTTTTCATTCTCAAAACCAATGAGATTAGTTGTATTAGACTTTTCTCTTAGTACGAGATGCTAGAAAGAGGCAGAATAATGTGGAATTCTTCCACGTCTCAAATCTACTGAATCGATGTACAAAGCATTTCTTAAATAGGCAGGCATATCCCAAAGTCAACTATAATACTAATTTCACAAACTCAATTTTGAGTTCTGAGGTGGTAGAAAGCTAGCGGAGACGGAATCCATGAAGGGTGGACGATTGATCGAAGAACCAAGTCAGACCCAAGTCAAAACCGACAGTATGAAATGGAGTTGACAGGATTTTCATCAAAAGTTGATTTGCTTTGCTGCTGCTGGGCCGAGCCTGAAGTTGTAGTTTATCAATCACTTCATCCCAAGATAATGCTTTCTTCTTGCGTACATTCTAAATTTTCCCAAGTCTTTCTCTCTATGGCAATATGGAGAATCCGCATTGATAACGATAACTTCTTCATTCATATGAAGTGGGCTATCTAGGGACTTGATTATAAGTGTTTGATAGATTCATTGAGCTTCTTTTGGGCGTTTTCTTAATTGCCTAAATTCCAATAGATCTATTCCTCCCATTTTCCATAATTGTTTTGAACATGAAGCTATTGCGAATGTTGTTCAAGTTACTTGACTATTTTAGGAAAATAATTTGAGCTGTGGGCAACAAGATTTGATGAAAAATAGAGTAATATTTCCTTCCAAATGGTACTGATCTTGATCCCCAACTCTTATTTCCACAATTAAGAGTAGCATCCTTCAAGATTCATGTCCACATTGTTTATTGTTCGTAGCCTTGAACAATATTAAAGTTATAAATGCACACAGACTTCTGAATTAGTACCCACAGATTTTACTTTCAGTCCCTTGCTCATTTTCCTTACAGGGAGAAGGCTTTTCTTGATAAACTATTATGGAAGCCTAAAGCTCCTTGCAAGCTTAATTCCTTAATTTGGACAGCAATATTGAAGAGGATTATTGTAAACAGCCTGTTACTGATTTGCAGCCAGGCACAATTTTGCCCTTTATACTGACTTCTGTATTCATGGATCTGACTCTAAAACTTTCTCCCATTTATATTGACGTTGTCCTGCAGTGACATTGCTTTGGAATAACTTATTTGGAGTTTTGGATGAACAGCTGAAACTTTGTCCAATTTATTTTTACATTGTCCAGCAGTGACTTCCACGTACCTTTGGAATACCTTATTTGATATTTTGGATGAACATTGATTATATCCCAGTACATTGGAGCAGTTTCTCCTGGTTCATCTCAAAAGTTTTTGCTACAAGAAAGAGAACTCAATTGTATGGGGCCACGTACACCTTATGTAAGATATTATATCTTCTGCTGGATTATCTGCCACGTCTGCTATCAGCTGCTTTGAATTGGTATTCCTCTATAACACGTGTTTTATTCTACAGTTCAGTAATCCATTATTATCTTGTAGGAGGTAGTGAGGTACTTACGATGATTCTGTTGTTGCATGTCCCGATTTGGAGATGGATATTTCCTTTTATATATTTATTGAGTTTCATCCTTTTATCCTTTTCTTTATTAAAAAAGATTTGAGTTCAGCCATGAGGTCTGTGAGGACAGAAGGGAACTTGATATCAGTTTCACCTGCAGTAGGAAACCTTGAAGTGACCCCACCATCTTATTTGCCTCTTATGGAAGGGAATGCAGCTATGGCTAAAGTTTCTGTTCCTTCATATAATGTACCTACAATTAGAAAGAAAGATTTTAAACTGAATCGCAAACTTTCAAGTAGTCCAGAATCAAGAAAAAATCTGGATCTGGAAGATGACAAAAATCAGGAATTAGAAGCTGATGTTGAAAATGCTGGATCCCTTTCACAGCAGAAAACCTTTGTAGGATTTAGTGAACCAAGTTGCAATTACACTTCATGTTTATGTGATGTCAATGAGGGTATAAGGTCTGGGCCTTCGAGGTCAATGACAGATTTTGGAAAAGATGGGACTATCCACCTGCAGAGAGATTGCTTTGTCGAAAAGGCTAGTGGTGGTCAAAATCATATGGAGCATATTACGAAGTTGAACATGCAATCAGGAGATGCTATGAGCCCAATGACATCAAGGTTTGGTCATTCTCGTTGAATATGTCATATTACTTATACCCGTTGTTGTGTAACTATAGCTCATTTTACATAGCATAAGTAAGATCACTCTATTTCTGACTGTTAGGTTTGCCAGGCATCCTTCGCCTGACTTGAGGACCAGAGCTCTGTCTCCCAATGCTGAGATTAAAGTTGGAAACAAGCGTCATGAAATCATATGTGGCTTTTATGCCAAAGGATGGTGCATCAGGGGCAATTCTTGTTGTTTTCTTCATATAAAAGATCCCGAAAATAAATCTGGCCAGCAGATTGAAGGAGAATTGGTTACTCAAAATTGGAAGAGAGAAGTGCAACCAAAGGAAGGTACGTCAGGTAATTGTGTAGCAAGGTTGTTCAGGAATCTGCGTCGTAAGCATCTTTCTAATGAAAATATTGTTCTGTGACAGGTACTGGAGATGATGTTAAGAGGTCAAGGATGCCTTGTACTCAAGTTCCGTTGGCTGCTACACAAGAAAGAATATCTCGGTATTCATCTGAATTCTCCTCAAACCCAATCATCCAGAAAGAAGTAAGCCCAAGCTGGCATCCAGATAAAAGTGGGCCTGTCTCCTCTTTCCCTTCCAGTCTAACACATACGGAGGGAATGACTACCACTCAACGGCTAGATATGCATCATGGATATACATCCCAATTTGTGAGTCATTCACCTAATGTAAACATGGCTACTCACCTTCCAACTACATGTATGTCACTGTCCCATCTTATTCCTTCCCGATCAGGATGTTCATTGTCTTTTAGTGGATCCATAAGTGAAAGTTCTATAGATTCTCAACAACTTCTGAACAGTGGCATGGCTTATCATGACAGCAGATCCCCTTTCTCTGGTTCAGAAAGGGAAGGTTTGGCTCTAAATGGTTCATTTGGGGTTCCGCCACACCCAATTGGATGTAAATTAAAATTCTCTTCAGATGATTGGGAGCCGTCCGTACCTTTCAAACCATCTTTTTTAATTACTTCTTCAGGCAGATCATCTGTCGAAGATCAAAAAGACCCTTTTGACAGTATTATTGAGATACCCAATATAGGGGATGAATCTTTGAAAGCTTTCATTTTATCTCAAAGATCATCCATTCGGTCTTCATCCCAGGTTCCTACAAATGGTGAGTTTGTTGAAGCTGCAAATCAGGGTTCAGATCTTCATGGTGCCAAAATTTTTGTATCTTCTTATAATAGATGTAATAAAACTGAGCCAGAGAAAAGTTGTGTTCCTCATGAAAAAAGTTTTGTTACAACTGAAACAGATAGAATAGCAGCAGCATATCTAAATTGCCAATTTGGAAGGGTTGGCATGGGACTAAATCCCTTTGAAGAGGATAAAGGTATAGGAAAAGAACAAACTGAGCGTGATGCTAGACCTCAAGTTGAAGTAACAGAGTACAAAAAACAAAGAGTAGATAAGGGTAAGAAAAACAGTGAAATGGATAATAATCTTCAGAAGGATGCTGGCATGCAGATAGAATCAGTGGAACTGAGAAATTTCCGTTTCGCACTTGTTGATCATGTGAAAGAGATTTTAAGACCAGTTTGGCTCGAGGGTCACCTCAGCAAGGATGCACATAAGTTGATTGTTAAAAAATCAGTTGACAAGATTATTAACACCCTGCAGCCTCAGCAAATTCCACCAAATGAGGATTCTATCAAGAAGTACTTTTCTTTTTGTCAGGTGAAAATTGTAAATCTGGTCAAGGTAAGTGTCTTTCCTTCTTTAGATAGTATTGTTGATAGGATGTGAATGAACGTCACTTTGATATTTTGTGACCAATTTTTCCCCCCCATTTGCAGGGATATACCAGTATATATGGCAAAGTTCGATAATGTCACCTATATACCTTCGTTGCATAGTTCGCCGGCAGTATGTAAGATCCAAATGTATGTAAAGTTTTATCTCATGGACTCGAAAAGAGAGGCTTTTATCTATAAGGTCATCTGTTTGATAGTCAAGTTTATAAGGACCGTTGCTCAGTTGCCTGCTCCATTATGGAGTAAACTTGTAGGGATTGGATATAAGTGCTCTAGAAGTTAGATGATTAGATCTATGATCTTTCATCTACTTCTTGATTCTCTAGCATATGAATAGAATGACAATTCTAATTAGTGTGGCATTTATGACTTATCTTAGTCTTCAAATAATTAGAGTCTGTGATGGAAGGCATATAGATATTTTGTTACATATCACTGTCTTATGACGAAGTGTTTCAAAATTCACGATATATTAGACTCAGATTGTGAGGATTCGTAGCATAACAATCATATCTCAGGCTAGTTTTCTTGAGTTTTTCAATGGTACATCTTAGTTCTTACGGTTTTCAATGATCTACTTGGGGTTCATGTTACTTGTGATTTGTAACGCTACTCTTAACATATTGGAAGGTGGAAGAGTGATCTTTTGTCATCATCATGGCAGATTGTGTTAGATCATTCCATTGGAGTGATCGAGCTTTTATGGGTTTGGGTGAGTCTATTACCTAGATGAAATTTAATTAAAAGCTAACTACCTGGCATAGTGGCTTAAGCTTGTGGGGACTACACCTGAGTGAGTTGAGTCTAAATACAATATTTAGAGGATATATTACAATTTGTTTAGTAGAATTAGGTTTTCAGTTTTAATTATTCTTTCCTAGTATCCATATTCGTCCTGTTTCTGTGATGCGAAAAATTGCTGAGCGTCACAGACTAGACTATGGTGCTCTTCTCCCGTAACACACACACACACACACACGATCGACCCTGGAATATGTATATTTCAGGGAAGTAGAAGAGAGAATGTGCATATACTGATGAATGATAATAGTGTCATTACTGTTCAATATTTCCTTTTCAAAGTTGTTTCAGGAACTGATTGTTTCATTTATTGCTATGGTTTGGGTATGCTTCTCAAATCGCAATCTTATATGTTGATTGTTAACACTGAATACAGATGGTGTTACCCACTGACAATTTAATATTGGAACTATTGAGAGTCAGATTAACTGAGAAATAAATGAAGTAGGAAAAGCCTTAAAAAAAAAAAACCAGTAATCAGAAGCTCATTTAATATTACATCCATCTCTCTCTCTCGCACTCTCACGCGCGCGCACAAACTTTTAGTGATTAATAGAAAGAATACCCATTTACAAGAAGCCTTATTTCCCGATCTTATGGCATATTAAACTACTCCTAGAGTAGAAGAGTCGATTTCTTTATGACAGAAAGGTCTAGCAATATAGAGAAATGAATGCATATATAATCTATAAACCTTCATGTCAGTGAACTTTGACTTTTGGCTCCGAGGCGTGGCAGATCCTGCATGGTGACACCAAAGTCCTGAAAAAGTTCCCGCCAGAAGAAGACTTGTTTCCTGGTCTTCCTTTCTCAACCCTATCAAATTTCCTTCTATTGCCAGAACCTGCTCTCTGGCCATTGCCATGATGAGCTGATAATAAGGAACTCAAGGATGAAGTGTGATGATGATGATCATCTGTGTGATTTGATTGAAATGAAATGGCTTGTGGCCGAAGTTGCTCAATGGGAATTAGCAGATTAGCAGGTTTTGGTTTAGTCTTCACTGAGTTTGCAGCTGCAGAATTTGGCGTTGGTTTAGTCACAATAAACTCAAATTCTGGGCTCTGATTTGTACTCTGATCATGTTGTTTGGTCTGGTTTAGAGGAACAGAAGGTGATTTGGATTGCTGGTCTTGAATGCAGACAAGGCCACTGAAAGAGAGTGAGTCTGATAAACTGCTATCAGCGGCAAGAACATATGAAGGAGGCTTGCTTCCATTGAAGGTTCCCATGGATTAGGGATTTGTGATCACAGTGGCTTTGTGGATGGAAACTTTTATATGTAGAAAGAGGCTGCAAGTTTAAAGCATCTTTTGATCCTTTTGTTTCGTCCAATAGGTCCTTTTGCTTTGATTTTTTTTTTTTTTTGGGTATGTGCTTTTGGCCGACTTATTCCTGTTTCTCCAGCTTTTGATTATTTTTAATTTAACCAGTTTTGAAAAGTCAGGATAATTCAAAACAATGATAAAAAATATTTTATAAAAGTATTTTCTAAAATATAAAATTTGGACCATTAAAATTTTAATCTTAATGATTGAGATGAGAAATGGATGGAAATGGAGGGAAGGAAAAGTAGAAAGACTCTTTGCCTACTAAAATGTGGCCGTATTTTTTTTTTTTTAATTTTTTTAACCAGTGTTGAATCAATCTAATTAATTGCCATGTTGTACTTTTAATTATTTTTCTTCTTCCGTTATATTAAGTTGAACAATTTTCACCGGGTTTAATTTCATTTGTTTCATTTTAAAAGTAAACTATAGAATAAAATAACTTCTTAACTATATGTCAGCTTGAAAATTGATTATAATTTCTTCAAATATGAAGATGATCTTGTATATAGATGGCTCGTGTATTTTTCTTGCGTGAGCACGAAATCTAGATTTAAGAAACAATGATACTTATTACGCAATAATCAAATGTTTTTTGCGAGGCATTTAAAATTCTTGCATTCCAATTTTTTTTTTTTTGGGGTGATAAGTATCTAAGCGGGTTAGCTATTGAAGCGGGAAAATTAACTCGCTGAGGCATCTCATATTACTCTATATGAGACTCGGTCATATTACTGAGTCAGCGAATCATATTACCAAATCCGAATAATCTCAATCACATTGAAATACATTCTAAATTCAAGTTTTAGCGTGTTAATGATCACATAAATAATTTCACTATAATCCTTAGTACCAACTCATAAAAATCTTTAATTTTATACCTCCTCTCTCTCTCTCTCTCACACACACAGATATGTGTGTGTGTGTGTGTAGGCGCTGTCAATATACATTTAAAAAGTCCTACATATAAAAAATGCCTTATTAGATTTAAACTTATAATCATTTGACCCCTAAGCTGAATGTGGTTTGGAGGTTGGTGGATATTACAAAGGAAGAGTAATATAAAACAAACCAAACCCTTTGTCAATGTCATTTTCAAATCTTAATCAACTTAAAATGATACAAATCCATTAACTTCAAATTTTTTGTTTGTTTTTTCTGATAATTTGTTTGACCGGCGCGCTGATCCTACGAGGTTTGCTCTCGTGTAGGTAAAGAAAACTTATAGTAGTATTTAATATAAAATATACTTCTTATGTCCTTAATATAAGACCTAATTAGAGAGTTGTTGTTAGTTCTATATATAAGATCTAATTTACATGATTATCAACTTTTTTACAAATTAACCCTATTGATTTTCCCTCAATAATAATCAAGTATGAAAGGGAGGGTGGGAATTGAAGAAGATGTTCAAAATTTTTGAGAAAAAACATATCATATTAACTAATTTAACTACTCAAATTAGATAAATAGGTCTTATATTAAAGATTAGAGGAGTAAAATTTATCATAAGGCACATTATTTTCAAGACATGAAATGTATATGATTTATTAAATTCTGTGTAATGCAAGAAAAATCATGTCATAGTTATATTTTGACAACCTAACGTAGATCTTAAAAAGTTTAAGTAATCTTTGAAAGTTGTAATTAAGTTTTCTAAAGTACGAAGTCACACACTTATTCTCAAATTTTATGAGACTTATCAATCATTAAATTTTAAGAATTAATTGTTAACTTTAGGGAAATAACTACAAATTCATTTAGAATTACAGATATCCTGAATTAAACTCTATAATTTAGTAAAAATTTCATAAAAATCTATTCATAAGCTCTTCAAATTTGATCATAAATTAAACTTCACGGTGTATTGAATATATTGAAGATACTTTAGTTTGTCATAATTGGAATTTTAAGACTTTAATCTTTATGCTCTTAATTTATGAATAGCATGGCTTGTAATAAATTTTATATTCTTTGTTGATTTATCAATTAGTGTGTGCATGTATTATATTTATAGGAAATTTTAATGTGAGTTATATGCAACTTATAAAGAGTGCGGTTTCGAATAACTTCTTATATAAATTTTAATATTAATATTGATTGATCTTTCTTTTGATAAAAAGAGGAACTAGAGATTTTATTCTTCTAATCCAGTAAAATCAATTAATTTAATGTGTGCGTGCATCACCGACGGCTGTGTTAAACAAAAAGGCAAGGAATCCAATTATGAGTGTGATTTTAATAATTTGATGATAATCTTCTAGAAAGAGTATAAGTTTAATTAGTTCATAACGAAAATATCCACCGATTTATTATCTTAAATATAAAGAATAAATTATTGTGTTTTGAGCCAACTTGATTTTTACGTGTAGATCAATCCAATCCAATTAAATCTTGTTTTAAAAATTTCATGACTCGAAAAACTTGTTAACACAAAGCATATTGAATATATGTGTGTGTATGGGATTAAGGTTTATCTAACATTCTAAAGTATTTTTTCGATGTATGTTCAATGTCCTAAAATATTTTTTAGTTCACCTAACATCTTGAAATATTTTTTTGAGGTGCATCCAACACTCTACAATATATTATGATTTATCTAGCATCTTAAAATATTTTTTCTATGTGTTTTCAGTACTTTAAATGTTTTATGATTCAATTTTTTCCTTAGAGTATTGAAGTGCTAGGCGCATCTAGAAAAATATTTTAGTATAATAGATGAAATATAAATATTTTAGGATACTGAATACATCTACAGAATATTTTAAAATGTCGGAGAAGCCTTAAACATTTTTATACTATAAAATACTTGGGTGACTTGAGTCACTTAGAGTATGTTTGGCTCAATGAGAGGAAGGGGAGGGGAGAGATTTTAATGGAGGGAAGGGGAGGGGAGGGGAGTGGAAGGATTTTAATATTATCTTGTTTGGATTTATAAAAAAAGAGGGAGGGGAGGGAAAAATATTTTAATATGGACAATTTTGCTCTTATTTTATTTAAGGCGTGGGCATAATGGTCACAACATGACAAAATATAGACATAATGGTCACAACATGACAAAATATGGGTATAAGAGTCATAATATAACAAAATATTACCCTTTCCCTCCAAATCCTCCCAATTTTGGAGGGGAGGTTGAAGAGGGGAGGGGAGGGGAAATTTTAAAAAATTTCCCCTCCCCTCCTAAAATATGTGTGTTGCCA